AGATTTGACCATGAGTATCAATACTTTTACTCAAGTACTAGAGTTGAGTACTTTGTCCACCACTGCCTAAAATAGCAGACATTTAAAAGCTATAAAGGTTTGGTTTGAACTGTGCAGGGCTCAGCTGATGGAGTACACACCCTCGCAAGCCGTGTAGGCATTTATGCTTAYGATGATGTGGTATTCTCCTTTGTAAAATATTCTAAAATGCGGTGACACTGTAAGGCCAACGCAGGGGCAAGACAACAGGATGGCGTCACTGCAGACACCCTTACGCCATGTTGATGTCAACTATAAACTCAGATTTAGGATTTAGTCTTAAAAGTAGACAGTGTGTCAGCCTCAGACAGAAACTAGAGCCTGATAACTAAAAGCTCTACCTCCAGTTTTACTTTTAGAAACTCTAGGAACCACAAGTAAACCTGCAATGAGAGTGAAGTGCTCTGTTAGGAAAATATTGGGTTACAAGTCAAAGTTTAAATTCTATTCTGAATTTGACAGGGAGCCAGTGGAGAGAAGCTAAAACTGGAGAATGTGTAGACAAGGGAAGTGAGAAGGGACCTCCAGAGGAACAACCAACAATAAGTATATTTAAAAAATGCACCTAATCTGGGATAGAGGGGAATTCATCTAACCAACAGTTGGAGTTTGTGTAGTATTTTTAAAACCTAAAATTTGAGGGGTTGTGATTTGTTACATAATTACTGTTTCCTTTCCACTGCTAGGTTTGTTCATCWACACTTTTCACAATGTTTTTTTTTCTTTTTGTCATCTTTTTTATACATTAGTTTTATACTTTTTTATTCTCTGCACTTATTCATTTCCCTCTGGTTTCCCTGCCCTTCTTTCATCTCCACACCCGCCTCCTCAGAGATTCTGATCTCGCTGACAGACTGAAAAAAGGGACAGACGTTGTCAAGATCCCTAAATCGCCAACCAAGAAAGGCACCGTTTTCTCAGGCTTTTCTTTTTCATAAAGTCTTTCTTCATTTTTTTTATCTCATCAGTGAACCTGAGTCAGTTTTTGTCTGTTGGAGCTCACCTGCTGCACCAGCGTGAGAACGTGCCCTTTGAGGAGTTATCTTTATTGCTACRTAGGTCATCGCAACACTTCCATTGACCTTTGATTGGTAATTATGCATACAAAAGGCTGTTGATACAGAGACGGCTCAGATTAGATCCCACTACAAAGATCGTTTTATATCTTAATTAATTACAGCCGTGAGTGTCACACGTCTTCTACAGCTGATAATAAACAGTTAAGCTCTCTGCAGAGAGGAGATGTGGAAAAACATTTTCCTTTCAATGTAGAAATACTTTGATTTCTTTTAGCGTTTCTAACAATAATCATGTTTAATATCTGTAACAGCCTTTACTGAAAACAGCGCGGCTCGGTGAGGCTCGCATAGCTTTTGGTCTCTGAGTGGAAAAAGTACATAAAATTTCAAACAAACCGGGAAGACGGCTGTTCTAGTAAAACATGCGGGGATTATGCGTCAGGACCAGGAACGCCTTCTAGAAATAAGCTTTGGCTGACAGAGCCGTCTTGCATTACCGTCTAAGAGGTATTTACAAGAGCGATTACTGTGATTATTATTTCAACAATACCCTGCAATGCTCTTTCATGGGCTGCCAGCCGAGGCGAGGACAGGGAAAGCCTTCCAACATCGCCGGACTGGGAATTTGTCAAGGCGGAAAAGAGGAGGGGGAGGGGGAGACCGAGACAGATCCGATGGTAGAAACAGGGGGGGGAAATGAAGCGCAGTTCTAAAGGGTATCCATGTTTCTGTTGGGTCACACAATCCGCTCCTCCTAACATGGCTGTGACCTTCATTTCTCTCTCTTTCTCTCTCTGCAGCCCCCACGGAGCCTTTGCTGTGCAAATTTGCCGACGGAGGGCAGAAGAAACGCCAAAGCCAGAGCAAGTACCCTCAGAATGGGAGGCCGTGGCACAGAGAAGGCGAGGTAATGTTCGTGGGTTGTTTTATTCTTGCCCCCCCCCCCTTAAAACTGATAACCTTTTAGTAAGTGCTGAAGCAGCAGAGTGCAAATCTGCTTAATTCTGTTGTTGCGTTAAACGCAAATCTTTTCTTCCAAAAAAAACGTCTCCAGATTTGCTYGTTGAAGTAATACACATGACATGAAATATAATTAAAGGGGCAATATCATGTAAAATCAACTTTTTTGAGTTTTATTTCATGTTATAATGTTATACTC